AAAAATTTAGAAAATTAAGATTGAGAGATTGGAGCTCCCATAAGGCTTGGGGTTTAGAAACCCCATTTTCCTTAATATATTTACAATTATCTATATATGTGAATTGCGATTTTTAAATGTCTTTTTTTTTTTTTTTTAAATGTCTTCTTTTTTCCCTTTTTTATATTATATTAAATTTTAATGTTTTGATAATAATCATATGTGTTGGATTTTTCAATAAATTAAATGTCTTCTTTTTTTATTATATTATATTAAAATTTAATATTTTGATAATAATCATATGTGTTGAACTTTTCAAGAAATTTTTTTTATGCTTGTTCTTAATGCATAAAAGTGTTATTATAAGGGATAATAATCATATGTGTTGGGACTTTTCAAGAAATTCATATGTGTTGGATTTCAAATATATATATTTTTTTTATGTTTGTTCTTAATACATTAAAGTGTTATTATGAGCGTAAGACTTGGGGGTTAGACTTGTTCTTAATGCATTAAAGTGTTATTATAAGGGATAAAAATCATATGTGTTGGGACTTTTCAAGGAATTCATATGTGTTGGATTTCAAATAATTTTTTTTTATGTTTGTTCTTAATACATTAAAGTGTTATTATGAGGGTAAAACTTGGGGGTTAGGAGAAGTTAATAAATGCTAATTTTTTTTTTTAAATAAAAAATCAAGAAATTTAGATAGGGAGATTGGAACTCCCACAACGCTCCTATTTTATTTAATATATAATATAGATAAATAGATATATATATATTCTAAACTATTGAATTGTTAGCATTTGCCTCTATTTAAATAACCATAGCACAATAAAGCTATGGAGGCATTAGGTCTCTCCATAGTGAGCTAATATGCCCCTTCTGTCTTCGAGGTTTCGTTGGAAAAGCTAAAGACTCTATTGGAAATTTTAGACTTAAATTTAAGATTAATGTTTTGGAGCTCGAAAGCTCGAAAATTATAAATACATTCCAGAATATTTATTTAAAATATAAATTGTCGTTTATAATTTATAAAATTATAAATATTTTTTTGTTATAATTTTTTATTTAACAGAATTAATTTTTAAAAAAATCATAATTACTCTCCTATACAATAATAAAATTACTTAAATTATGAATTAAAACATATTTTTAACATCATTAAAAATTGTTAATTAACTTGATAATATATTAATAAAATGGGTGATTTGTTATAAAATTAAAAACTTCTGAAGTGAAATATAATTTTCAAAACTATGCGAGGCGATTCATATTTTAATCAAATATAAAAAAAAATGTATTTATAATTTATCCATTTAAAATTAAATTTATTCACTCCTTGAGACTTCGATTAAACCACGGTGCTTCATTCACACTCCTTGAGACTTGGATTGAACCATGGTCCATCATTCACACGTTGGAACTTCCAGTGCAGCATCGCCTCGTCTTTTGTGCTTCGTTGTGTTTACAATTTTTTTAGTTGGAAAATTTTAAATATATATAAAATTTATAAAAAAAATTGATAAAAATAATACGGAAATATCATTATTATAATGATATTTTGTTTTCTAGTGAAAAGTTTATAATAAATCAAATTGTTATGTATGAAAATTATATATAAATAAAAAATTTATATAACATTACACTCTTTTTAGATGGAGAGATTTGGTTAATAGTATGACTTATCTTTTTTTATTTTTTCATGTTAATATATCTTTTTAATATTTTACCTTTTCTCCATTTGTTTATATTCAATTCTCTGCTAAATTAAGTAGAAAATGAACTAACTAAATAAGGGTATTTTAGTAATTTAATCAATACATTTAACAGTGATAATCACTTACATTTGAAAAGATTAAAGGGGTGCAGTGTGATTTCAATAGTATTCAGGGGGTTTATTGTAATTTAATTATTAAAAAATTGGAGACAGAAAAAAACATGAAAAATAAAAAGGAAATCTATTAGAAAATCATAGATTAATAAATAAAAATTTGTGCTCTATTTTCATTTCCATGTTGCTCATTCTAAACAATGTATTTAAAAAATTATCTTTTCTATTTTTAATTAAAAAAATAGAAAATCTTATTATTTAAATTAGATATACCGTTCGGAATTGATTTTTGACAACGTGACTCAGTAAATTAACAACATTATTACAAATTTAGATTTGTAAAACTAGGATTTATTTAGAAAAAGATATTGACAATTTAAATTCATTTTATTCATAAACTCCCTAATATAAAAATACATATTCAGAATAAATTATAGATTGATAAGGATGGGTGCATAATATTTTTTATAAATTAATAACCAAAAAATGAGGTACGGACAAAGAAGCTGCTACGGCATAAAAAATGATAACAGAAATATACAAATGCTCTACCAAACAAATCAAACCATATATGTATATTACATATGAACCAATAAATATAAAACAAATCTGTGATTAAATAATGTTTTTAACATAAACATGTACATAATCACTCTCATATCATTCCTCTCTGGAACTAACTAAAAAAAAGAATAAAAAATCCTTCATCACACTCCAACAAATAATCCCAAATAATTCCACATATATATGTATGTTTGTTTTAAGAATCGGAGATCTAGTGCTTCATGAGCGCGAGAAGAGACAAAACAATCGAAGAGAAGACGATAGCTGCAGATATCTGCAATGAGTAAGCAAATCCAGCGTCCATTGACGGTGACGGTGCTGGAGCCATTTCGAAGTCTTGCGACGATCCAATAACAGAGAAGATAGCAATGACCAAGAAAACTGTCAAAGCCTTGAATGAGCTCAATTGGGCCATTGTAGATCAGAGAGAGAGAGAGAGGGAGAGAGAGTGTTTCTCTATGGAGATTGAATTTGAAACAAAAGAGATAGTAGCAGTAGTGATGCTTGTAATAGGATGGAAGATAGTGAGGCAAGAGGGAGATATATATAGGAGAGGGATTTTCAAAGTAGGGTTTAGATTTTTGAAAAGACTCAAATTAAATGATGAGTGGAGTTTTTTTTTTATTTGGAAAAAAAAATTAAAAATTAAGATTTGAATATCGAAGTTAGTAGGATTTAGATTTTCAAAATAGGGTTTAGGTTTTCAAAAAGGCTCAAATTAAATGATGGATGGAGGTTTGTTTTTTTTAAAAAAAAAAATCAAAAAATCAGAAAATTAGGATTGGCATATTGGAGCTCTCACAGGCCTTGGGGGTTAAAAACCCCATTTTGCTTAATATATAGTATAGATACTAGCCTATCACCCATGCTATGCACGGGATAATTTTAGATATTTATATTTGTTTTAGATTTTTTTTAATATATAAATTATGTTTTTTAAGACTTTTTATAAAAATAATTTAACAATCTTATCACTAATAAAGCTATATTTGACTATAAGTATTTTCTAACTAAAATGATATTATTAGTTTTTTGAAATGTTACTTTTTATATAGATGAATGATTGTCTAGTTTTTTGAAATATATCGTGGAATCCTTAGAATCATGTGATATCTTCCTATTACCTGGTGCCAGAGATTTCGTCATGGAACTGGTTAATCATAACCATTATCTGTCTGTATATGCTTTGTATATAGGTCTTTATGACTGTCTCATGTAATCATGAGCCATCTGTCTGTTAGCACTAATGGATGTACCACGTATGATTATCTGTGAATTCTGAATCTAAATATGTATAAAAATTTGTTTCTAACTTCTAAATCTATCACGGATATCATTCATTAAACCCCTTTACTCTGTTATTATTCACTCAGCTTCAGCTCATTGTATTATTATGCATGTAGGTGATCAGGCATGTGACCATGCCCTGAGATGATTGCCTGGAGATCTGTTCTATCAGCCAGCCACTGTGCCTCCAAAGGAGGTTCCTGTTTTGAAGTGGTCAAGTGTTTGTGATGTTTGAAACTTTTGTATTTCTTAAGTTTTGTCTGAACAAGTTTTTGTATGTTCTGTATATGTGGGTCTTGGTGACGTAAGACTAACGTAATTATGACATCACTTATATGTATATTAAGTTTTAAATATTCTATCCCATGTATGTCAACATAGCTCTATGGACATTATTTGTTGGTATTTGCCTCTGCTAGCCCCTGTATTTTGTTTAATTTGTTTAAAGGCCTTTGGTAATCTTAAGATTACTGGCCAGTTACGACGCTAAACCTATATGAGCGGATTTGGGTCGTGACAGAGTGGTATCAGAGCACGAGTTATACCACACGCATGAGTCCATTTGAGCTACAGGACTTCCTAGAAGTAGGGACATTACGTCTGCATGTGTAAGTGTGTGACAATATGTAAACATATCAAAACCAATATGAAATGCCTCTAAAATGAAATTAACTGAAACTGAACATTGTTTATTAGTTCTCTATGTACCTATAGCAAATGGAAAATGCAAGATGTAATGATGCAACTGAATCCTCTGAGACTCACATGAGCAAAATGGAACTAATGCTTGAAGCCTTAACAGAGTCAATGAGATAGCAGCAAAGACAACAACCTCTGCCTCCTTTGCCCCCTTTGGTCCAAATAGAATCGATAAACAACGACATTATCTCGTTGACTCAGAAATTTACCAAGATGAAGCCGCCAACCTTTTTAGGTGGCATTGAGCCATTAAAAGCCGAGACCTAGATGCTAGAAATGGAAAAACTATTTGAAGTGTTCCTGTGTTCAGAAACTCAGAATGTTCTACTGGGCACCTATATGTTAGTGGATGTTGATTAGAAATGACAATGAGACCCTGACCTGGAATCAATTTAGGAAAATCTTCTATGAAAAATAATTTCCTCAATGCTTCGGAGATCGCAAGGTTTCTGAATTTGAACAGCTAAAACAAGAAAACATGTCCATAGCTGAGTATGAAGCTAAGTTCACTGAATTAGCCCTATTTGCTCCTTATATGGTGGATTCATATTACAAGAAGGCTTCAAAATTTGAAGGAGGCTTGACTTTAGACGTGTTTGATCGAGTTGGTGTATTGAAAATGCCTAAATATGTGGATGTACTTGATAAAGTCCTAATGGCTGAAGCCAACTTGGCTGCAATGAAAAAGACTAAAACTCCAACAACTGAATGAAGAAGTAAGAGATCAGGATTTAATTTTAGAAAGGGTCATTCATTTCCAATGAACAAGAAGCAAAAACGGGGTCTACTAGCAGCTCAAGTCAAAGCAGTAGATCTACGCCTGCTTGTTCTGAATATGGAATAAAACATAATGGTGTTTATTATTGTACATCTGGTGCTTGTTTTTGGTGTGGCAACATCTTGGGTATGATGATGCCAATCATCCTACGGTAAGTTCAACTGGGTCCACTTCTGCATCAAGAACAAATACCAGAGCCAACACCGGCAATGAAACTTTAAGGCAAGGAAAAGCGTCTGCACTAGTGTCCGGGGACGTCCAGACCACCGAGTCTGTGGTGTCAGGTATACTCCCTATTTTGCTCAGAATGTATATGTGTAGATAGATTCTGGTTCTACACATTCCTTTGTGTCACATGCTTTTTCACAAAAGTTGACTAGACCATTAGAATCTATGAACTATTTGTTATCTGTATCTATACCAACTGGGGGTTCTATGGTATGTGCTTACATTTATCCAGCATGTGATATTGTGATCGGTGATATGATATTGTATGTTGACCTACTGCCTTTGAGTCTTGATCATTTTGACTCTATATTGGGAATGGATTGGTTGACCAAGTATTATGCTACTATTGATTGTGTGAATAAATCTGTTGTATTTCGACCTCTGGGGCTACCTGATTTGTATTTGCTGGGAATTGGGTAAGTCCCTTCTTGGACATGGTTGTATGTTTGACTTATTGCCTCTAATTGCATGCGTGCATTGTACCATATTAGCATTACGTGATGAGTTGCATTGTAGCATTGCATATTAGGAACATTGTATGCTTGCCATGATATGTTGCATTAAATTTGGCATGCCTTGCTTTTTTTTGTGATATGTTGCATTTTCGAGCCATGTTTGCATAACATGCATTGCATTGCTTGGTTTGGGGTGTCAAACCAAGTGTGAGGGTTAAGAAGTGTTCATACTACGAGTGATGTAACACGCCTTAACTCTCAGTCACCGAGACCCTTGACCTTGACATGATAGGGTCTTGGTCTTCATTCGTGTGTTGCATGCATTTTCATTGAATTGCAACCTTGGCTCCTTAGGCCATCACGCATCAAAATGCATGATTGATGGCCCGAGGGTCGAGGGTCATGCTCCCTTGAGTCCCTTGCATGATAGGGAGTGTGCCCTCATATACATTTGCTTGAAATTCCATGCCATACACTGTCTGTCCTTGTTGCTGTCAAAAACCAGTTTCTGCAGGGAGTTCTTGCCGACCGACACTGTAGAGTGCCGACCGGCCTTGAATTGGTGGCTGATAATATGAAACCCCAGCCGATGGATAAGTTCCATGGCCGGTGGGTATTCTCTTCAGCCGATGGTGTCCTACAGGGTCCAGGGAACCTGTCCCAGGACTTTGGCAGTTTTCAGAGAAGCAGGGCAGTGTAAACAGAGGCAGCAGTGGTATAGTACGGGCTTTCGGGGCAAGATAAATCCGAGCATGCATCATTCACGCATCTCGAGGAGGGGGGCTGCGGCCATCTTCTCTTTGCATTTAACTTGTTAATTTGATGGCATGAAACCCCAGCCGATGGATAAGTTCCATGGCCGGTGGGTATTCCCTTCAGCCGATGGTGTCCTACAAGGTTCAGGGAACCTGTCCCAGGATTTTGATAGTTTTCAGAGAAGTAGGGCAGTGTAAACAAAGGCAACAGTGGCATGGTGCAGGCTTTCCAGGCGAGACGAACTCGAACATGCATCATCTGCGCATTCCGAGGCAAGGCTGTGGCCTTTCCCTTTTTGCATTTAATTTGATTAATTAAATTAGAAGTCTTGTAATAATTAGTTTAGTATTATTCATTCGGACTGTAACATTTATTCGGACCCTCCGAGCGAGGGCGAATTTGTAATAAGTGTGGGTGAGTGTGTGCATGTCTTCCAACCCCCACGTCTTTCTCCCTTTTATTTACCAGCTTTTGATGGTTAGTATTAGGACATGTTTAATTTAGCATACCTTATGTTATGCATGCGTGCATCCACACATTTGTCTTACATGCATCGGGCTCGGCGCATCACTCTAACTGCATTTGTATTTTAATTTCAAATTGAATACGTGTTAGTTGTAGCATTTCACATGTCATTGTAGATTAGCCGAGCCTATCTTAGTTGCATTTTGCATGTGTTGCATTAGCCATCTTAACATGAACTAGGATCATGTATATGATTACTAACTAGTTTCTATTTTGGCTTGGAGTACTCTGCAAGTTCTTTTGCTTTAGCATCCTTGCATGCGTGTGAGTGTTGCCATGATAGCATGATTACCATGAGGCTAGCTGCTTATGTGATATAACTGCTTGAATGCCTGTGGGTGAAGGTTGGATTGTTTGAGTTGGAATAGCTCATTGGAATTCGTGTTTCAGCCTACTTGCGAGTAGCAAATTCCAAAACATTTTTTCAAAACAAACGGATATGCAATGCTTATTTCCAAATTAGACGATCTAGTCTATACTTTTGTGTTGTGCGCATAACATAGTAATTCTAGGCTAATGACCGGAATAAGAACCCATAACGTTTTCAAAAACGGATATCACGGTTAGTAGAGGCCGATCTTCGGATCGGGCGAGAGGGAGTGCTCATAGATGACCTTCCCCAATCATACCCTAGCTCCCGAGCCGAGGTAACTTTGGTGATGACGGACACATGGCCTTTGGCACCGAGTCAGGGTTTCCTAAATTCCCCCTTAAAAAATATTTAGGTGGCGACTCTGTATCTGGCAAAGCAGTCCATGTTTGGCACTTCTTTTCTAAAAATCTGTTTTCTCAAAACGATTTGTCGGATTTGGACTCTTTGGTTCAGATTAAGAACCGTGACACAAAATTGAGTCCGAATTGCAGCACGAAGGCCTCACGCGGGCGCGGTTTGGCACTTCTTTCAAAAATCTATTTTCTCAAAACAATTTGCCAGATTTGGACTCTTTGGTTCAGATTAAGAACCGTGACAAAAAATCGAGTCCGAACTGTAGCACGAGGGCCTCATGCGGGCGCGTCTACACTATATGAAACTATACATGTGCTATACTACCAAACAAAAAGAAACTGAGAAAAAATATTAAAAAATCGACGGCAGTCATCTCAGGCTTGAGAGGCCCTCTTCGTACTCTTCCTCAGAGAGGACTTGGGGGCACTGTCTCCATCAGCATTGCTATCAGAATCAGACTCTGAACTAAAGCCAGTATCATCTCCGCTCCCTGCCTCAGAGCCTACCTTGGTGTAATCTCTACTTCTAGACCCTGAGCCAGCATTATCATCTCCACTCTCAGATGACTCAGAATGTTGACTCGCTGCCTCCTCGGAGTCGCTAGTCTCAGCATCATCATCGCTCAAAACGAGCTCTACGGGACTGCTCCGGCCTAGGGTACCCCTATTCCTGCCTCGACTGCGGCGCATATCTCGACCACAAGCTGGGGCCTGCCTCTCTCTTTTCCCTGCTGCTGGAGGAGGTACTGCCGGTGCTGGTGCCAGTGCTGCCACTGGTGCCCTCGGTATAAATGGAATCTGAAAAAATAGTTGTCAACATATCAGCTACAGTGTGTGTATCAGATATAGGCATAGTATGTAGAATGAGTTTCATGCAGAAACCAGATATAGTATGAGTACAGTGTGCCAATGCAGTGTATCAGTGCAGTTTGGGAACGACTACAGCAAAAGTGCCAAATATATCAGTGGAAATATGATAGTGTGGTGGACAATAGAGCAAGTAGTGAAATGCATGCTGAAATAGAGAAAATTACCTGAATACTGTGGAGACCAAGCAGCATCTCTCTCCTCTGCACCATACCGATCAGAAAGGCAACTAGCTCGAGGAGGCTCTCTGTATACTTCGTAGTAGGTGCCTGCAAGTGCATTTGACTGATCAATATCTGGAATAAACATATCTGAGATGAAAATGTAGGGTACAAATTGTAAAGTGTGGTCCATACCTAAGGCGTGCCTTGAGCTCTAACATACTCGTGCCCTGCCTCTGCCGGCTCGATCAGAATCTGGTAAGCTGTCCCGGTCGGCTGCAAACATGTAAGTGCAGTGGAAATCTCTAACCAACTGGTCATCTGCCTAACAGGAGGGGCCCCTTTAGTATGGGCCCTGGTCACCCAAGTCGCCTCACTCACCACAAGAGCTCCAGTTCCCTCGCATGCATGAACACCCGTCAGAGGGGGCATAAGATGAGTCTGGATGAATGGCGCACAGTCGCCCTCTGCTCTGAAAAAGTCAGCATCTAGGCCCACCATAAACTAGATGATTGCATCAACCGATAGGCTATCCGTTATCCTCATAGACGCTAGGGATGACATCAAAACAACCGGATCAAGCGAGACTACAGGCTGGCGTACAAGCCGCTTGCTTAGAAACCAGGCCCCGTAGACTAGACCCTCCAACAAAATTCAGAAACGAGATGTGCCCCAAGCCCCCGCATACTGGTCCCTCACACCAGCCGGCATCGTCGCCCAGGGCTGCCATATGATCTGCAAACAGAGAGTGTACAGATTGTTAGTTGTCGTCAGTTGCAAAAGTATGAATCAGAGCATTACTAAAGCAAAAATAATTGTGAGTTTCGGGTTACCTCGTCAGCAGCCACTGTATCGAAGTAGCTATGGAAGAAGGCAAAGTTCGTGTTGTCACAGCTCTGACGCCGACACTGGCTGTCATACCGTTGTGAATACGATACCATAGGGGAAATCTCCTCTATAGGCTCCAGAGCTAGAGCTGGGAAGTGGGCATAAACCCACAACTGCAAGGAGAGGACAGTGGTGTCAATGCATGAACAGAAATGAAATAGAAAGTGCAAAGCAGAAAGCACAATGTATGAACAGACACAGAAAGTGCAAAGCAGAAAGCACAAGTTTTGAACAGATATTGAACAAAAAGTGCAAAGTCAGAAAGGTGTGGTACATACCTCTCAGGCTCTCCAATAGCCTCGAACTTGCTCTCCTCTCATCAGGGAGG